ATATATATATATATATATAGTATAGGATGAATAAAAATTGTTGCCATTTTATATTTTTAATTTTTTCATGTATATGTTTTTTTTTGATTTTGTTGACTGCACAGTATAGTAGGGTCAGTTGGGCACTGTCTGTGAGAAAAAGATCAAACACATGACAATTCACTCTGCCAGAAATTTGGAAATGGCATGCTCTACTGCTTGGTATTTACACCAGAAGCTTCAATACAAACATTTCAGAGTGTTTTGGTGTCAATCTGAGGACAATGCAGAAGATTCAGAAAGAAATTAGATGAGTCTAATGGTGATTACAAAGATACAGCATCTTGGAAAACTCACTCTGATCATTTTGATAAGAAAAGAACTCTTGATTTGTTGGTGAGGCCTCAGACTCAACACAGAAGATTACATCAAGTGCCTTGAGGAGGTAGTGCTGCTCAGGGTCAAGAGGGTGGTTGCTGGAAGAAACTATGTCTGGCAACAGGACTGCACCATGCCACACAAGCAGGAGAACACTGTCATACAATTCCTGCAACCACATCACCCCTTACATCTGGTCACCTAATTCCTCTGATTGCAACCCCCTTGATTATTATGTGTAGGACACAGAGATCAACAAAACTCCTTGTAACACCAAAATTAACTGAAGCATTATTCACTTCACTAAAACAAGATCATCTAGAAGAAGAGTTGCAGGAGATTCCAAAAATTGCCTGGAGGCCATGGTTGGAGCCAATGGCGATTTTATTGAATAAATTTACTCTTTAGTATTTCAAGATAATTTTGGTAAATATATCTGTTAAAATGAGATGTCAATGTTATTTTAATTTTTGCACAATTTAGATGACAATTTATCCATCGCAGCCTGTATATATAAAAGATGTTTTTCAATGGAATCTGACTAATGGTCATCTCTATAGATCACCAAATACACATTACAGCCATGTTGGGTAAAATGCCTTTCCTAACATTTTACATCCAATTATTAAAAGAACAAGAACTTGTTACTTTTTTTTCTAACAAAAAAATATACTCATGTGATGGGGAAGTTTTATGTAGTGTGTTAAGAATCACTCTAAGATAAATTTTGGTAAAAAAAGAAAAAAAAAAAAAAAAAGAAAAAAAAAAAGCAAATTAGGAGCTAATGTGAAAGACAAGGTGCCTAAAAGAATTTAAAATGGGTTTTTGGTTATGCCAAAAAAAAAAAAAAAAATCCTCATACAAAAAATGTTTCTGCTTCTAGGATTTCAAGGGTTAGGTAACATCACAAGGGCTATAAATTGGATGCACTGCTAGGACGAATACCACTCTAGTATAAATAGACACAAACAAGTATGCATTACTGTCTATCTATATATCCTACAAATATATACTGGAATCTAGTCATGTATCCATGCAAAATACTTTATGAGTATGCTTATCTGTCTGTCTGTCTCTCTCATATATATATATATATATATATATATATATATATATATATATATATATATAAATACTATTGAAAACAGAAATTTTATGTTGATTAATTTTAATGATGACCATTTCCAAATTACAAATAATCTTTCTCAAACAAGGAGGGAATTCTGTCAGGAATTGTCCAAAGTTCTTGGAAAGTTTTGGGAAAAAAAAAGTAATATGGTCCGAGCTTTTGACTGTCTTAAAAGTAGGTAGAAACAAATTTGTGAGGTTTTTTTGGGTTTTTTTTTTTATACAATTTTAGAAATGGTGTCCCAACATTATTAAAAAAAAAAAAAAAAAAAAGAAGGTGCTAGTGGTTAAACTTCAGAAGTCATGTAATAAAAGCATGTGGAACACATTTTTTTTTTTAATCAAAAGTCGTCAAACCAATGTTTGTTATGATGTAAGCAAGGTGCAACGCGTGTTTATTTTATACACATTTTAGGATGTAGGCTCTTAAGCCTTAATTATTTATTGATGGCTATTTTTGTTGTATGAGCATTGCTTAAAAAAACAAACAAAAAAAAACACTTTTTATTGTTTCACTCTCATACATGCTTTCTCTCACTATCAAAAAATGCTAAGAGGCTGTCAATATGTATAACATGTAAGCTAATACTGGTAAGCTAAGATTGATTGACACAATGAGTCAGACAATGATAACTTGAGAAAAGTTAAGAGGTGGAGCAAAAAACAGGTTCCCATCCCCATTAGGCACATGCCAGATATAGTGAATATACTTAGGGCAGAGTTTCTATTCTGTCATCATACCAACAGAAAGGAAATTAAAAGAAGATAGGGCAATTATTTAGAGTGTAAAAACAATATACTAAGAGATTAAAATAAAGGGGGCCAAAAGATAGTCAAGTAGAAAGAAAATATTCAAACAGAAAGAGAGAGAACGAACAATGGTTACAATACTCTTAGCAACTGGCATGTGAAGCCTTAATGGGAAAAGAGCATTAACCACATTTACTGATCAGGAATGTTATCTTCAAGATTAGCTCAGTTCTTAGGGAAGAAAGGAAACTCATTCCAACTCTTATGGGCTCTTCTACCCTTTCAAAAATCTATTTAGCAGTTTTCTCAAAATAGATTGCTTGTATTGTCTTACATGTTCCTAACAAGTAACTTCTGTGATACATAAAGTTTACTGTTTATCAGGAAATTTTATGTATGCTTTTCTTTCCCATGCATGTATAAACTATGTACTTACCTAATTGTACTTAGAAGGAGATGCTGAAAAATTCACAGACCGATTTTAAAAATAAAAGAAAATAAAAAAATCTGGGCAATCTTTAACCTTTGTACCAAGAAATGAAAATAATAATAATAACAATGGTGTGTCAAAAGGACAGTTTTTTTTCCTTGATGCTATTAACTACCTTCACTCCTTGGTAATGTTTGTTTTAAAAAACAATGATTAGAATTGTAGAGATTTTTCCAAGCATAGCTTAGATGTGGCACAAGGCCGAAAGTATGGGGCACCCAGTGAGAATCAAACTCACTTTTCAGTAGTAACTGATTTAGCAAGCCAAGCTTGCTAACCATTACACCACGCCGAGGTGACTAGATTAGAATTTTAATGAAACCTAAACATATGAAAGTGAATTTATACATTTTCTTTGTTCTTGAAAATTTACAACAAAAATACTAAACATTTTTTATTAGATTATTTACACGATTTTGTTATAAATTCTCAAGAACAAAAATAACATGTATAAATTCACTTTTATCATATTTTTAAGTTTTATTACAATTCTAATCATCACTTTTTAAAACAATAAGCATATCTAAGGAGTGAAAGTAGTTAATAGCAATGTCAATGGAAAAAAAAAAGTCCTTTTGAAAGACTGTTTTTTTGCAGGCACAAAAGTTAAATATTACCAAAATCTGATGTTTGATCAGATTTTGGAAAGAACTGAGAACTTTTCAGCACCCCATCATATATAAGTATTATCCCAGCTTGGTTTGAGCCACCTCTAGACTAGTCATTACAGGTTTGGTTTGTTTTACAGCATATCAACTTGAATGGGTTATTTAATGTGGACAAAATTTTTATTGTTGGTAATATGTTTTTCTTCAAAAATCTATTTCTGGGAATATTTTTCCTTGAAGAAATCATTAGCTGGTCATATTTTTTCAAAAATTGTATAGCTGTTTGTATTGCTGGTATTTTTTTTAAAGTATTGCTGATAATAATTTTTCCTTCAAAAATTACTGCTGATAATAATCTTTTTTTTTAATTATTATTATAAAGTATTTCTAGTATAAAAACCTATTTTTACACAAGTTTGGGTGTTAACTATTTGCCCATAGCTGGGACCCTAACAGGTGCTACCACCTCTGGTCAGGGTGGACCTGGGAACACCAGCAATTAAGAGATGGTTCCCTGCTCCTCAAAACCTCCTGATCAGAGGCCTTGCTGTTGGATGTAGTTTATAGTCATACCCAGGACGTGGATGTAGTTTATAGTCATACCCAGGACGTGGATGTAGTTTATAGTCATACCCAGGACGTGGATGTAGTTTATAGTCATACCCAGGACGTGGATGTAGTTTATAGTCATACCCAGGACAGACTAGTCATTACAGAACTGTACAGATAATCTTTACAACAAAGATCCCAGTTCTATCAAAACAAAGATTCCTTGCCATGACTGTTCTTGCAAAAGATAGTGACAGGTTTTTTTTCATAGATTTTGAATTTTTTCTTTTCAGTGATTGGTTGTCAATCAAAGCTAGGACAGAAGAGATGAATTTATGCCTTTTCCAAGTGCATAAGTTTAAACACATTAGACTTGATCAAAATCGGAACTTGGATCATCAGTTCCGTTTTCTGCACTATTACACTACCTGCATATCTACTGCACATGTAGTGCATGTCTACATATAAAAGTCAGTGTTGCCCCAAACTTATACTGACTCAACCAATTTCATTCCTCAACTACTACCAGTATAATTTTTTTATAAAGATGAAAACAAAAAAATTAATGTTGCTCTTCTAACAAACCTAACGTATGGCCACTACACACCGAGCACTCTGTAGGGGACTATTTTCACCAAGTAAAATTTTAGTCATGCCAATTTAAATTTGAATTTCTTGTTTGTGTAGACATAGCCTTCTATGGCAACACCTAAAACAATATTGACTGAAACTGAGATCCACACTAATGCAATTTAAAATATATATAACTAATATATAAATCCCTATATTTTGATGGGATTCCATATAGAGGAAGTAGTATTTATAAATGATGCAGAGTGCTAAATAAGCACTATCAACTGTCCAAAAAAGACACTTCCATGAGGAATTTAACTTTTTTATGGTATGTCACTTCAGGACTTGAACAATCATGCCTCTGCTGACCACTTTTCTTTATTTGTGAAACGTAAAACATGGGTATAAACATTTATAAATTAAATTTTGTGTCAGAATCAAAAGTCAAAATGGGGAGTTCTCACTATGATAGAAAATAAAATATTAATGAATTTTGCACACTATATACAAAACAAATATGACATATGCACAATGTGAAATATCACCTCATCGGTTGAGTTCTCAGGGCTGTCTTCAGGTTTTCAACCAATTTGTTCCGCAGTGCTTCCTGTTCATCATAAGGGATGTATACCTGAAATAAAACATCAAACAATGGATTTTAGAAGAATTTGATTATCAAGTTATTTCAGATTTATTAAAAACATTATTAGTCTGAAGTAATTCCTTCTAGAGGTGAAATGAGCCATAAAGGTTTTTTTTTTTCATCATTTTATCATTCAATTACCTACTACAGAAGAGAAAGCTTAACAGGAACGTTTATCAAAACTAAAGAGAATGTATTCAATCTAAAGAATCATTTTTGTGAGCCTAATTAAAAGTCACAGAAAGTAGGCATTAAGCCTTTTTGAGTTTGGTAAAGCAATAAACATAGCTGTGGTGCTGAGCTGGTGCTCATTAAGCCATTGAACCTTGAGACCTGAGTGCCAATATACTATCCCTAGACAGATGGGGTAAATTTCACTATTTCAGAACTGCCTCTGTAACAGAACAAATCAATAGTAAAGAACAGCAAATGGTTAGTATAAAGTTGCTTATATGAACAGCTTTATTCCATTTACATGTTAGACTGTGTAATTCTTTTTTTATGCTTAGACATGGGAGGATTGTATCAGCAAACTGGGACTATGGATTCAGCAGTTTAAAACAATTCGGAGTAGATTTGACATTTGAAAAATAAAAAATACAGAAGAAATCTGTATGCTCACTTCACAATACCTCATACTCCAGGAGCATAAGAATTGCTAGAGTAATACTGGTCAGTTCAAAAATAGAATGAGTTAATATCTAATAGCATCAAAATTGGAAATTCTACTTAACTCTAAGCTTTGTGATTGGACTATTAATGAAGGAAAGGAAATCTGTGCCCATTGTTCAACTTGGTTTGGACAGTCAAAAAGGTGTCATTGTATGAGGAGGTGGAAAACTTAAAAATCCCCATTCTAAGATACCAAGGCTCATCTCAATTAGTTTAACAGTGGCTGAATAGCCAGAAGAAAGTAATTTCTAGAACCAGTTAACATTCAAAAGAGAAAACAAAAACAGAGATGAACAAACATTTGATATTTTAAACTCTCTACATTAAAAAAGATAATGACTAAAGTTTTAATTTGCTATTGTAGATATAACTTAATTGCAAAAAAAAACCGACTGAATTGCAGACAGGAATGTCTAATGTCTTCTTATATAAATGATTATTTGCTCAATTTTCAAAGAGCTGATAAAAAAAAGAAAAAAAAAGGCATGTCTCAAAAAAATTAGCATATTTTTCAAAATACAAGACACACCCATGTATAAGATGTATCCTTATTTTGAAAACAGTTTTGCTGAGTATTCAATGAAAATTGAAATATTGATTTGGCAATTACAAATATTAACTGCATTAAACACTCTGGTGATGTTCCTTTCACATTTGAAATCCATACTATTATTATAAGTAACAACTAAACCATTCCTATTTAAATAAATTTTGTGTAAAAAAATTATTCTGATTTTCAACATCTTTCTCATGTTTCCATTTGGTCAAAAGGCCTACTAACATACTAAAAATATTATTAGTTTTATTATCAATATTATTATTTCAGTTGTTTTTTTATCTCTTGAATTTCTGTCACTAGTGTGTGTGTATATATATATATATATATATATATTAATTGCACAACTCAGTATGAAACTTGAAGTTGTGCAATTAATGTAAGATATGTATATTTCTTAATATATATATTAAATAGCTCTCTTAACATTGAGCACTTTTTTTTTTTAACACAATAGAGTATTTATATGTATTTGTATATGCTTACTTGCTCATATATCTACCCATTCGGTTATATAATTAATAACTTTGATGTATGGTATGCAACCCAGTTTGGACATGCAATTTTAAGGTAAAAAAGTGCATTTTATGTACTGAAAAATACAATAGTAAATGATGGTCTTAATATAAATCCTATTGAAGATTTTAGATTATGAAATAAAACATTTAAAAAAAAGAAAGGAAAATTCTGCTTTAAAAAAATATCCCACAAGAGAAAAGAGGTTATAAATTTTATGCTTATAAGAATGAAAGCTTTAAAATCTAATAGCTAGCCCATTAAATTCTAATTTACAGAGTATTATTTAATTATTTAGACTAGAATGAGAGTTGTTTGAAAACTGGTCTCTTTACATTTGACATGTCTGTTGTAAATATTACCTCTATTTGAAAGTTATTTTTTTAAAACCTACAATGTTTGCTTGTAGATGAATGCTGACATCAAAGTATAACTTTGCTTTAAAAATATAAAAGTTGCTCATATTTTAAATACAAAGAGACAATCCTGTTTATTTTGTGGTGTCTGATAGCTTTTAAATGTGAATTTCTGAAAGAATATGGCTCCATTGCTTTTAATGAAAATATAATTTTACAATAAAAAGTTTTAGTTTTAAAATAATTCTCACTAAAATAAATCAAGAGCTTTCAAAGGAAGGGTGATGTTTTTAGTTCTAACAGTAAAAGTCCAATCCCTGATTTAAGAAACAAACTGCTACTAAAAAAAATTAGTTTCTTAAGAATCAATTTAGAAATTAAATTTGAAAAATGTAAATAATGTTTTGTACTATGCATCAAAAAAGTAAAAAATACCAAAAGATTTGTTGACTTATAATTAGGATTCAAAAATTTTTTAGAGAATATGCCCACTTTCTACATTTTAAGAAATAAAAATACAGAAAAAAATCCTCCAGTTTGTTTATTATTACATAAACCTTACAATCTTATTTATTTATTTAAAGACAAAAAAAGGCTTTGAAATCTCAACATCCATACATTAGAGAATGGTGTAACTTCAGTTTCCCTGTTTATGTGTGAGCTGTGGTTAGGAATCTGCTCTTGCATACCACTGCTAAAAGGTTAGCTCCTTACTTGGTGCCCTACCATTATGACTATGTTACACTAAGATTACTATTTAACTTATTAACTTATATATAGGTACATCAATAAGTCTTCTATTTAATGAGGAAAAAAAGCATTTCTTTTAAGCAACAAGTATATTAAACATAGCATCTTGCAATGCATTTTATTCGGTGAATATTGATCACATAGAGCAAACATTATACAGTGATAATTTCAGGTCAAATTTCAGCTAATAACTAAATGACAGGTTACAGACATATTGATCTGACCTCAGATTCAGATAAGAGATCTATAAAAAGTATGTTGACAATATGGCATGACAGTAAAGTATACAAAACAGAAGTAATTATTATTAGTAGTAGTAGTATTCACATTGTGAGTGATAAAGTTAAAAATCTGACAAGGTGATAATTTTCCAATTTGTCCAAAAACTACACATTGAAATTTAATGAAATTTTCACAGAAAGATGGCTGTAGTTATATGTGCATGTTGTGTAAAAAGTGTAATGTTATACGTAAGTGTAAACAAACTGCAGCCATTTACATGAGTAACCCGATACTTCATAATCGTGCAATTATGGGTCGCAATTGTGACTTAACCGCTTCAGTGAAGTCTCTTATAAGATCTGAACTTTTAAAAGGTAAATCAACATTAGAAATATCCAAAATGATTGGAAGATATCACCAAACTGAAAATGTTTGTTGCAGCTCCTACAAAGTTACGTAAGAGGGCTGATAAGGAACACTCAAGGGTTGTTTCCCAATGTTATCTGTCACAAATTAAATGTGAAGCTGTAAATAACCCAGGACTGACCAGTGAAGGACTTTTCAGATGCACTGGAGAAACAACTGTGTCCAGAATTACTCAATGTCATCTACTGAAAAAAGGTTGGGAAATCATTGAGACAGGTGACAACACATCAAGTGACAAAAAGACATGTACAAAAGCATCTGAAATGGGCAGAAGATGACATGAAGGACGACTTCTCAAAAGGTTTTGTTAACAGATGCATCTCATGCCACCATTGATGACCCTAACGATTGGAACAAAGGTTGAGTTATAAATAGAGGACATCATCATCAATGCTTGAGACACCAACAAGGAGGAGGGTGTATCATCATTTGGTATCTGGTATTATTGGAGGTATCATGGTTGGTCCGTGGAAAGTGCCTGACAGTATTAAAATGACTGCAGTTGCTTATATAGCCTTCCTGAGAGAGCACCTTTAAATTTGGTTAAAAAAGCAAAGGATCACATCCAGGAGAAACACAATATTTATGCAAGATTATGCTCCCTCACATTCAGCACATAAAACTATGGAGTACCTGCAACAATTAGGTTTCTGTGAACCTTGGAAAATGAACTGGCCAGCCAATTCTCCAGACTATAACTCAATGAAAAACTTTTAGTGCATTCTGAAGCAATGAGTTTACAAGAATGGATGCCAATTTAGAAGGAAGGAGGACTTGTGACAGGCAATAGTGAATGTATCACGTGGAATTACATCAGAGATCCAAAAATTGACATGTTCTATGGACCAGCGCCTTATCCATGTCATTTCAAGAAAAGGATCACATTATCCCTTGTTAACCAGATCCACTATTATTTTTGAATTTGTTTACTTGTTGATTTCTATTTATTTCATGTTGGTTACTGTATGTATCCATAACAATCTGTATATGAAGCAATTAAAGTGTTATTTTCTTGTTCTTATAAGTTTTAATTACTCCTAACTAATAATTTGGAACAGTTATAAATTAAGTAAATTAGATTTTGTGATTTTTTTTTATGGAACTTTACACTTTTTACAATGTATGCGCATTTAACTGTTGCTGTCATTCTGGAAAATTGTCACCTCATTAATAATTCATTACAGCATGTGTGTGTGTGTGTATATATATATATATATATATATATATATATATATATATATATATATATATGTGTGTGTGTGTGTGTTACTTTTACCCATCCATCACTGAGAATTTGCTAATGTCTATGAATTTATCAAAAAATTACTGTCCTATTAGCGATTACAAAATCATGCAGCAGGCACAAAAACCTATATTATTCCATAATGGTTATCTGTGGACCAAAAGAAATAACACAGAATTTAACATTGCTATGAGAGCATATGATTCTACAGAAGCATGTGAAATTGGTGGAATCTTATTGTGGTGACTAAGATTTATTTTTGTCATTAAGGATACCAAACCCTCTGGAGATGACAGTGTAATTCTCCTCCATAAAACAAGTCCAAAGAATATAGACTGATTGAGAAAGCAGCTGATAAAATTTTTCAAATATCACAAGCTAAATATTACCACAACCACCAATGCTAAAGTGATCAACTTTCTTGATGTGACCTTAGACTTGAATACTGGTATTTACAAAAATCAGTCCAAGTTAGATTATCTAACTCCAGCAATAAGGAAATATTTAATAAAATTAAATATATAAAAGCTTTAGAACTGAAAAACCATAAAGTAAATTTAGAGTATTTAGAAAACAAAAAAGGTAAAAATAAACAGAAACACCATCGGTAATATGGTTTAATCCACCTTTTAATTGTAATGTTCAAATGAATATCAAAAGAATTTTCCTAAGTTTAATTCATAAGCACTTTAATCATTCACCAATACTAAAAAAGAGTTTTAACAAAAATAATGTTAAGATCAGCTATATCTGTGTTAATAACATCGATAAAACTATATGCCCAACATAATGTTAAACAGATACATATCCAACAAAAACAATAAAATAAAAATAAATGCAACTGTCAAAAAGAATCTGACCCTTAAATGGCCAATGTATGACTAATAATATTGTATACCAAGCTAGTGTACATTCTGATAACGATGTCAAATTTTATTTTGGTTCCACTGAAAATCCTTGTAAAATTTGTTTCTACCATCATCAAATGACTTTAGACAATATAAGATACATAAACAGCACTGCTCTCTCCAAACATTTCTGGTAATTAAAGAATAGTGGTAATACACCCATTATTATGTGGGATATTGTAACTAAAGCCAAATCTTACAATGGGAAAGACAATAGATGTAATTTATTCCTTGTTGAAAAATTTATCTTAAAACACTTAAATAACCTTAGCTTATTAACCAAGAAAAATGAATTGATGGCTACATGTAGGCATAAAATTAAATATCTGTGGAAATATGTTGATCCAGATTGATTTTTAATCTAATTTTTTTTTAATTTTTTGGTTTGAAAAAAAAAAAAAAAAAAAAGAACCAATAATCTCAATTTATGCTTAATATTAAAAAAGAATTAATATCTACAAATCTAAAGAAATTTTTATATATAAATAAAAATCTCATTTTTTTAAATTGCTAAATATATATTTTAAAATAAGAAAACTGTAATCCCTATATAATATATGACTATGACAACATTGTGATAACCAGATATTTTTATTAAAATTTAAATTACATAACAGTCAGTCTATACTTAGCACCTGATGATTGTGTGGTGCATGAAACTTTGGGTCATGCTACTAGTGAGGGATAATATGTATATTTATTAATATATACTCCAAAAATAATGCCTCTTGTTCTATTATGTTGGCACGGGAGTAGCATTTGAGCTCTCCTACCAATAACTATCATAAAATTCATCCATTCAGAAAAAATTGCATCTACTGACATTCATCAATGCTTGCTGAACATTTATAGAGACCAAACAGTGAATGTGTGCACAGTTTGGTAGTGGATAATACATCTCAGAGGTGGCAGCAGCAATGTGTGTGACAAGCCACACTTAAAAACATAAGGTGCAGACTTGTTTATTGCTAGCATGAATGCATAGTCAAAGGAGAAAAAAAACAGCTTGGTTTTAATGAATAAAAATTATGTTAATAACATAAGAAGTTCAGATGGAGCAGAACTCTTGTAAGCAACTTTCTTAAAACCCTGAGAAGCCTGATACAAATAAACTAAGTAGAAGACCACCAAAAATGAGAGCAATTACATAAAGATGCTTGTTTTGAGATGCTTCTAAAAGGCTTCTAAAAGAATAATCATGCTCCAAATGGTGATAGTAATATTAGCTGTTTTCTTATAAAGAAGCATTTGGCATTCACAGACCAAGCAACTTGTGTTATTTTCAGTTAAAATTTATAAAATCTTTCTATGAAAACTATTTGTCAGGAAAATAGGTTTCTCCAGTCCACTGTTATCGCTCTTTTCTGTATTAATGAATGCTTCCTTCCTAACCTTTTGTTTGAAATAGTGTGGAATGTCAACATCTTCATTAAGCTATTTTTCTTTTCAAGTTACACATGCTATCTATTTTAAATGATGTGGTTTCTGTTATTTAGTACAGTTCCTTGTGATTCTGTAATGCCAATTCATGAGGTTCAAAGGATGGTCTTCACTATGACCTAGATGCTTAGATATTTCTAAATGAGTTTGATGGCATGCATGTTATCCATATGAAAGTCATGATCTGACAAGGTTATTTAGGAATATGACTAAGATCTCCCAAAACAACTCCAGCTAAACCTAACTTCCAGGTGTTTAAAACAAGTAATAAATCAATATGATAATCTAGTTAATTGGTCAAGAAAGATATCATCTCTTACACTACTTCATAAGTAAAAGTATACTGAATAGATGAAGGAGAAAGTCACATGAGGCAATGAAAAATTGGCTGCTTTCATATTTTCTAATGAAAAGAAGTTTCATTTAGATGATCCAGATGGGATACAATGTTACTGGCATGATTTGCATAAAGAGATATTCTTAAAGAGACCATTTGATGATGGCTCTGTTACTATTTGAAGAGCCTTTTCTGCAAAGGCTTAACAAAATGCAACAAAGTACAATAAAGTCCTAAAAAATAAAAATTCCCTTTTGTTGGATCCAATCATGACCATAAATTCCAACAATCATTCATAGAGTAAATTGGTTTGAAAGTCAAAACATCAGTTTATTAGCCAGCAAAATTTTACTACCTAAACCCTATTGAGAACCTTCTCTAGGAAGATTTGTGCTCAAGGGAAGCAATTCGAGACAAAGGAAATCCTGATTTCTTGTACCAAAAATATTTAAAATGAAAATCCAAATAATTAATGCAAAACAGATGCACTGATGTTTTACAAATGAAGGGAGCACCCTGCAAGTCTTAGGAACTGCAGAACTTATTTTTTTTAAATTATTTTTTGTAAGAGGATTTATATTTAGTACCACCCTTAAAAAAAATAAAAAAAAAAAAATTTGTTTTTGTTTTCCGTAAATGTTTTTAGAACTGGTGATTTTCTTTCATTAGTGAAAGTATCATCAATTTTCAAGTGTCCTATGTAAATAAACAAATTTATGGGGTGCTTTATTTCCAGGTTTCCATGTCATATATATATATATATATATATATATATATATATATATATATATATATATATACATTTTTCAGGCATATACCCCACAACTACTGTCAGTTTAATGCAATTTTGCAATAAAGAACTATTTACTAAAGTAGTATCAAATCAATTGGTCTGGTATTTCTAGTATGGTAGGAGGGTAAAGGCTATGACAATCTCCAAGCTCCTCCCCACCACTCAGTGTGGTGTGTGTATGAATTGACTGAGAAATACTCACATTTTTAATTAATGATCTACAGTGTAGGGGAATTAAATTTTAATCTAAAATGAGAGAAATGCTTAGTTTTAAAACTAAACAAACAAATGATAATCATCCTTCCAAGAAATATTAATGGTTTCAGGTTTCTTGCAGGCTCAGTTACATAAAAATTAACAGATACTACCATTTATATTTTCTTTTGTCTAACAAACGTTTTAATCAAGATCACAGAAGAACTCATGAAGTTTATAAAAGAAATGGATATTTTTTTTACAATATAATCATCATGTTTTAAAGATCCTAAGAAAGGCCAGAGTTCTTCAGTGGACAAATAAAAAAGGCTGATATATTTATAAATACATTCTTTAAGATTATTTAAAAGATTTTAAGTTAATTTTAAAAAGGGAACAGAAAAATGAATCTTTATAATAAAAAATATAAAACATTCTGTGACAGGCCAAAATCAGTCCAGTAGCATAATAGAGTGAACAAAACTGTTCTTTTGTTTAGTTTTACAAATTGACAGTCAACATGGAGGGATATACAACTTCATCAGTGATGAAACTAAGATAGTAATTATCTTAGAAACAGTTTTAAAGTAAAATAAAAATGAATACTTACATTAGACAAGTTTTTAATGCTTTCAATATAATAGTCTGGCCATGTAGATGTGCTGGGATTATCTTCATCCTTTTAAAATAAAAAAGAATTTACTCAAGATCAGTGAAACAAAAGGAATAGTATTAAGCAATAATTTAGATACTGTTTATAAAAAACAAAATGCTATAAAATGACATGCTACTAAAGATGTACATGAGCTTTTTATATATTGCTTGAAATTTGTTATAATTATAGTGGAAGAGGGCTCAATATCAGTGATAGAGCCTTTATACATATAGACAATAAAGACAGGAATAAACTCTGCGATGTTGATTTTTTTATATCCACACTGTCATTTTATATATATATATATATATATATATATATATATGTGTGTGTGTGTGTGTGTATTTAGGCAGCAATCCTTCATTTATACATGTTTCATTAAAGATGACAGACAAGGTACTATGATTAAGCTTTGTATTTAATTTTTCTTGTGTTCAAACAAGTGTTTTCTTTTTTGGACAGAGTATGTAGTAGAAACTGTCCAAATGTTCTATAACTGAGCGTTTTCGACTATATTTTAGCCATTATCAAGGATGATTTTATTTTTGCTTTTTAATTGGGTATATGAGTTGTGTGTATGTTTCTAGAGAAACATGGTGTATAATATTATAATACACTAATGTATTTAAACTGTTGTCCTCATTTTGTTATATTCACAACATTTCTGACTGATGTTTTACCCTCCAGCTTTCATCAAATGTGTCATATTTACTAAGGTTTGAGGAATTTCAAAAACTCATTCCATACAGATTGTTTTTCAGGTAACTATTATATTTGATTACATTCTGAGAATGCAATCAAATATAATATTTACCTGAAGTCATCATCATTTTGCAGCCTCAGCTGAGATTGAACTCACTACACCTTTCCAGTATTCCTTATCTTCAATACTTTGATTGGTGTAGTTCATAATCTTGTCAAATAGCTGAATTCTTGATGCTTCGCTAGGGCTATCAAGGGTGTTTTTATCGTGACACCATCACTAAATGGATTGCCAACCAAGGCTCAGAGAGACTCCATTCATCCTCATCTAAGATCTTTGAAGGGACGAATACAGAGACCTGGTGCACCGAATGCCACAAGGTTCCCAAACGACCCTCTGCAGGTTTTGAATTCAGAGTTGTCCTTCTCCTAGACCCGTTGCCATCCAAGGCTATAGAACCCAGTCTGTCCTGCTATTTTACCCATAGCTAGAGAGAGAGGAAGAGGATTCATACCTTTCCCAAGGGTATTAGCACGTAAGTGAATGTAATGGATTCGACTGGAATTCAAACTCGGCTCTGCGATTCCTCAAACCAAGTCGCTATCCATTACTCCACCGTGCCTCCTCTACCTGAAGTAGTTCAAATGGTTTCTCAGAATGTAGATGATCATGACTCCACAACTTCATGTGCCCTCTTTCTTTCCAATGCTATTCATTCACACAAACTCATTATATAAGTTATTTGCTTCCCGCCCCCTGTTGTTTATATATCTTGTGAGTATTATATTTTCTGAGTCACCTTTCCTCATTATACACCCCAGAAACTTCAATTACAAAGGCTATATCAACCAAAATAAGAACATTTTAAATGACTGATTGATTGATTGTTTAACAGCATATCAACACCTTATGGGTCATTTAATACCAAAATTTAATTTTCTTGTGAGCTTTGAAGTAATAAAAATTTTATTTTGCTTTCACAATTGAATACATGGTAGATGATATTCTATTGTGGAGCATAAACATGTTTGTGTGGACATAATTACTAAAGGTGGTGATATGTGTGTTTATGTTGTTTTGTGAAGTTATATTTTGGAAAACAGTTTGATTTAAGAAATTACATGATATTATATTTATCAATGTCATTGAAGAGTTCTTTCATGGTTCACCGATTTTGTTTAGTAGCATATCAACTGCTATGGGTTATTTAATGCCAAAATCTAAATATTTTGGCAACAATTTTATAACTTCAATTAAATATATTTTGAATGCAATTGTATACCTTCAGCTACAGAAAAAATGTATTGTTGGTAATTTTTTTTATATAAAAATGTATTGTTGGTATTTTTACTATAATTATGTTTTTTTTATACTTTTATAGTGTTTTGTTTGCAGGGTTCATTATTTGTCCATAGCTGGGACCCTACCACCCCAGGTCATGGTGAACCTGGGAACAACAGCAATTAAGAGATGGTTCTAAACTCCTCAAGACTTCCAATCTCCTGATCAGAGGCTTTACTGCCTGATGTTTATCATCAGAGTTTAAATGAATCAGTACAATAATATTTTACTTTTCTTTCAGTTCTTTAACCACAGCATAATGAAAAACTAGTTTTTCAAGGATTACAGCCACATTACAGTCAAGAACTGGTTTGCCATATGATCACCAAAACAACATTGAGTCTGGCCAGTACCTAGATGGGTGATCACTTGGGAATACCAGGTGAAGTAAGCTTGGATGTGCATGTGATGTAATAGATACTGGCTTGGAATTGTTAATCAAAGAGTCAAGTTCCAATTCCACTTGGGTTCGTTATATTCACTTACATGCAAATATCCTTGGGAAAGATATGAATTCATCTTCCTTCAGCTATGGGTTAATTAGTAAGGCTTGTATCACTAAACCATTATTATCTCAAAAAAAATAAAATAAAATTGCATTCAAAATTGAGATTTCAGCATTTAATAATTCATAATGGTTGATATGCTGCTAAACAAAAACAAACAACCAACTAGTTTTTTAAGGTGGAGATAGCCATGGGTTAAAGAAAATACAAACTCAGAAGTATTTTGTTCATATAAGAAATTTACTTGCTATTGTAAATAGCATGAAAAAAAAAATGTTTGGAGAGGGAATCAAATATTTGGTGTTTCATAAAACAATGTATAACTCATCACTTTTGTTTTTGAGAGAAAGTTATTAAGTTTAAGATGCTATTTCTGTATGTCATCTATAGGATAGATGTATTGTGTACGAAGTGAAGTATCAGTTTACCAAATTATCAGGTTTAAGTATTGCGTTAAGAAGCTAATAGTTTAAAAAGAAACAAAGAGGTTAAATAAAAAATATAAAATTAATGATTAGCAAAACATGAGCAAAACAAAAACCCAAAGGTGTGCTACTTCATGAAAGTTAGGAAAACAAAATTGCTGGTGCCAGCTCAGGTTAAATAATAAAACTGTATTTTCAACACAAGCAGCTAGTTACAGGGCTGTGGAGTCAGAACACACAACCTTCCACTCTGAATCCTCTATTTTTGGCACTTCTGACTTCTCTTTATGTAATTAAGTGATTATGGCCTACAGATCTCATAAAACCTATGCATATGCTCCTAACTTGAGTAGGCCTATATCATTATAACTGGTTTATATCAAGAATAAAGATAGTGGTTTTTATATCATACCTATTCATTCTTCAATATTTTCTAACAGAATTAGAGACAAAATCTTTTGAAGAATATAGAAGAAATAACAATAAAAATAAAAATCTATACTGCAAGACTTTTTTTTTTTTTTTTTTATGTGTGTGTGTGTGTGTATATATGTATATATATATATATATATACACACACACAAAAATATATCTTTGCAAATAAGAAATAAGTACAGAACAAAAATAAAACTACTTTATAACAGAAGTTGAAATATAATCTCTTAAAGAATGTAAAAGACATAACAAAAATAAAAATTCAATAATGTACGATTTTTTTGCATATATAAAATAACTACAAAAAATTAAAATGACTAAAAAAAAGAAGAAGAGATGAATGTCTTTAAAGGAAATAGTAAAATATACAGTAGAAGAAATAATAAAAATAAAAATTCTATAATGTAAGACTTTTCACATAAAGTGTAAATTCAACAGGAGTTGAAGTCAGTATAGTTTTACCAACTCATACTCCAGTGACCCCTTAATTGATTCTAACTCCAACTCCACATTTCTGGCTAGTTACTCACTTTTATTTATTCTAGTTTTATAATTAAGCAATGCTTGTCACTACTCCCCCTACATTCTAATGATTACATGAATAAATATTTTAACATTGACATCAATTTTTTGTTTTTTATCAAATATGATTATCAGCAGTTAATTTCTTTACATTTAATTTCATATTTTTTCCAGTTAGGCCAAATTTATAAGTCTTAAACTGTTTGCACCAAAAAGAAAAAAAAAAAAAAAAAACATTGTTTTTTTTAATTATTTCACTCAAAGCAAGGCAATAAAGCCACTAAGATGCAAGAGGTTACTGAGTGTGAAAGAAGATGTGAAAGAAGATGAGAAAAAAAAAATATTATTCAGGAGAGAGAAGAATAAAAGAACAGGAATTAAGAAAACACAAGAGTTCTACAAGCAAGAAGTGCAAGAGAAGAAACTGTTAGCATAAACTTATCGTTGCGTCTAGTCATTTTAACTATAATGTGATGAGACCTAGTTGCCAAACTAGTACTATGCTTAAATTCATAAAGTCAAGGTATCAAAAACAAAAGCTCTGTAAATATTTTCCTGTTATTATAAATTTAGATCGAGCTGGAAAAGCAAATTGAAATTTTATCTTTTTGAAATAAAAAGCTAAGTTTCTTTGCCCAAAGTAGTAAGAGAAGAAAGAACGAGACAAGAGAAGAAAGAACGAGACAAGAGAAGAAAGAACGAGACAAGAGAAGAAAAAAAAAAAAAAAAAATTTACAATATCTACTTTTGATCTTGTACATAAATACTGGTTACAAAATAAAATCCTTGCATTTGCTCAGGGGACAAAGTGTGTCAGCTAAAATAAGTTTTCCTTTTGTATTTATCAATATCTGCTTTGTATAAACAATAACAATCATTGATAGAAACATGCAACTACGTCATGAAATACACTTTTTACATTAGTAGTAACTGAAAGGAACTTCAAGAGTTTAAAGATTGAAAAGCCACTAACATTTTTGCACAAGGTCTAAAGAACAATATTCTGCATTAATTTTTTTTCATCAGCCTAGCTTTTACCCTTATCATAGAAATCAGATACAGAAGACAGCAAATTTCACAGAAAGACACTGT